TGTAAAGTGGAATATCCACACAAGGTCCTGTTAATCAGATTAAGTCAGGTTGCATACTGGAAGGAACCCTGTTGCATTCAAGGAGCCAGTATGAGTCAATATTTAAAAAAAAAATTCCATGCGAAATGGATGGCACTAGAGAAGATTATGCTAAGTGAAGTTAGCCAATCCCTAAAAAAATGCCAAATGTCATCTTTGATATAAGAAGAGCAACTAAGAACAGAATAGGGAGGAAGAGCATGAGATGAAGATCACCACTAAATAGGGACGAGACGGGGGAGGGAGAGAGAGAGAGAAGGGAAATTGCATGGTAAAGGAAGGAGACTCTCATTGTTATACAAAATTACATGTAAGAGGAAGTGAGAGGAAAGGGGAAAAAACAAGAGAGAGAAATGAATTACAGTAGATGGGGTAGGGAGAGAAGATGGGAGGCAAGGGTAGGGAAGGGGAGGGAAGGGGAGGGGATGGGGGATAGTAGAGGATAGGAAAGGCAGCAGAATACAACATACACTAGTATGGCAGTAGGTAAAAAAGTGAATGTGTACCCCATGTGAATCTTCAATATGTATATAGGGTAAAAATGGGAGTTCATAATCTGCTTGAATCAAATGTATGAAATATGATATGTCAAGAGCTTTGTAATGTTTTGAACAATTAATAATAAAAAAATAAAAAATTAAAAAATAAAAATCAAAAAATTAAAAAATCCCATGCATCTGACCTTCTTATCATGCAGTACACAATGCAGATTTGAAGCTCTGTTTTGTACTTACTATGAAAACTTTGGATGCCTACATTTTCTCCTGTGTGCAGGCTATTATTTCAGGGTTCAAGATGGTACAATTCTAGGGGAACTATTTTCAAATCAAGTGAAAATATTATCAAGGGCAGCAAATAAATTCTTATAGCTATTTAGATGTCTAAAACTTAAATTGTCAAAATATCGCAACAGGATTCATTTTCAAATAAGAATAGATGTCCTCTTCACATCATTGAAGCAAATGCACCCTGTTGAAAGGTGCTCTCCTGTGAGACACAGGCTTTTTATTTACATACTACTACATGGTAAGTGTTATTTTGTCAAACTGGAACATGGATAATGAAGGTGCTGTACTGACAGCTGTGTTTCACAAGGTCAGACATCAGATCTGATGCTGCTGAGATTTGTCCCTGTGGCTGTATATGCCACCTGCTCTCCTCTGAAGCCCTGAATGATTTCCACTGAGTGCAGCCACCCCATTCTGCTCATCATCTGTCCTGTGGGTGGACATGGAGTCCAGACTGCTCTTTAATATCTGCTCTGCTTCCTCGAGGTGCATCTCAGAGGTGGAAGAACTTGATCACTTAATGATAGCAGCCTTAATGTTTCAAAGACTCACTAAGCTGTTTTTACTTAAGAACAAGGCCTTTTCACATTGCTGCAAAACAACGATGTTTCTAATTTCTCTGCACCTTTGTAAAAATATATTCTATGCTTTGTTTCTTGATTAACTTTCCTAGTGGATTGAAAATACTGTCTATTTGAGTTTTATGTGCATTTCTTTTGTGATTTTAGAGAAAATAATTTTAGTTTTTCTCCATTTGGTATAATGCTTGCTTTGGATTTGTTTGCAGTATTGAAGTAAATCCTTCTATGTCTCGTTTTCCCAGCATTTTTAATATGAATGGATGTTGGAATTTTGTCTTTTGCATCTATGGAGATGATTATTATTTATTCGATTTAAGTGGTGAATTACATTTATTGGTTTGCTATGTCAAATCAATCTTTCATCTCTGTGATGAAACCCTCTGGATTGTGGTGTATTACCATTGTAATGTGTGTTTGAATGTAGTTTGCTCATATTTTATTAATAATTGTTTCTTCTCTCTCCATCAGGACATTGGTCTGTAATTTTCTTTCCTTGATGTGTCTTTGTCTGGTTTTGGTATYAGGGTAATACTGGCTTCATGAAAAGTGTTGGAGAGTGTTCCTTTTAATTTCTTGAAGRATTTGAGAAAGAATGATGTCAGTTCCCCTTAAAGGTCTGCTAGAACTCAGCTGCAGATCCCTTTCATCTTTGGCTTTTCATTTGAGATTTTAATTGCTATTTAAATCCCATTACTGGAAAATGTTCTGTTTATGTTTTCTATATCCTCATGGTTCATGTGGAATATATCCTATATGTCTAGAAATTTGTAAAAGTCTCTTAAATTTTCCAGTTTCCTGGAGTATAAATTTTCAAAAGAGTTTCTAATGATTCTCTGGAATTAAGAAGTCTCTGCTGTGAAATCTCCTTATTAAGCTTAATTTTACTTCTTTGCATTATGTCTCTCTATTTTTGGTTAGTTTGAGGGTTTATCAATTTATTAATCTTTATCAAGAACCAAATCATTACACTGATCTTGTGTATTTTATTCTGAATCTAATTAATTTTGACTTCAATCTTATTTTGGAATTATTTTGTTATTCTTTTCTAAAGCCTCAAGATGGAATACAGGCTTATTTCTTTGGAGTCTCTATTTTAATGTAGGCATTCAATGGTATCAATTTCTCTCTTAGAACTGCTTTGATAACTTTGCAGATATTTTGATATTAGTGTTTTTGTTCTCCTTGTTTCCTAGAATTTCTTGATTCTTCTTCTTCTATTATCAATTCCTAATTGAAAATAGAATTTCTCACTCTCCAAGTTTATATGTTTTCTATTTTTTTTGTGTGTTGGTTTCTAGTTTCATTCAATTATGATATGATAAGGTGCACAGGATAATATCATTGTCTTCGCATTTTCTAAAACTTCCATGGTGAGCTAGAATGTGATCTATTTTAGAACAGGGCTGGGCTTTTTAAAATCTAATGTCTCTGTGTTCCTCACTCAGTTGCCAGACTTTGTGGCTGTGAATTTGTACAGCTGGTTGTAGTAGCTCTCAGCTTCCTGTCTCCCCATGTAGGGTGGGATGATGGGGAATGATGATGATGTGTTCTGGTAGCAGGATTGTGCAATGCTCAGTTAGAAGTTACACTAGTTGGTGTTTGGTCTTGGCTGGGCTTTGGGCCTCTGTGGGTGAGTGTTTGAGATTTGATCCACACACTTGTGGCCATAAAAGAAATGAATAGTTTCTTCCTATCTTTCTCATCACAATTGTGGGTCAGCAGTGTGATTAATGTGGGATGAAGTAACAATTAACTTATAAGTATTACCTCAAAGTCTTTACGTATTTTTGTTACCCTTAAATCAAGAGGGAAAAAAACAATTCCTTTAAGGAGTAGATGTCAGATCCATCTCTGAACACTGAGTACTTAAGACATTTTAGAGGACACAGATGTAGAAGTGTACCATAAGTTTGAAGCTAGATTGATATTTGGGCCTTAAACTGAGTTTTTTTTTCACTCCTTTTACAGAACTCTAAACAACTGTAAAATGATCTTACCTTTCAGCCAAATTTAAAACATCATTTTAATCCTCCTTTAGCACTATAGTCATTGCCCTTACACTCCAAAGGACTTCTTAGCCACAGTTCAACTGATATTTACAATCTGATTGTATCACCCAGGGTTCTTAAGAGAAATGAAAGAAATTAATCTGCATTGAGACAGAAAAATGAACATCCTAAAATACACTTGTTCATAAAATCTTCAGACACACAGAGGAACCAGGCTGGATGTATACACACCAAGAACAGTGGCCAGGCAGGAGTCAGAACTAATAGCAGATGTCACCTGGTCAAACCTCAGCTACATGTGCTGACTCACTCCAGGACTGTCAGGTCAAGGGACCACCAAACAGCCCATAGCACAGGTTTGGGGTATGTGGGCAGGGCATGGGATRGAGAGTTACCTCTAGGAAGGAGCTGGGCATGTTCATGGAACTGGGTATTGCTCATGTTCTGGGCACAGCTCCTGGAATTGACCAGGCAGATAGATTAGAGAGGATGGGTCACAGTGACCCTATGCACATGGCTGTACCTGAGATGTTGGATGTTAAAATAAATGTGCCCTCTTAGAAGTAAACTAACTACTTAGATATTAGGAAATCAGAGACCCTACGTCCAGCTCAGATGAGCCCCTGCTGACAAAGGCCAAGAAAGGTCTTTCAGTGAAGGCAAGAACCATGGCAAGTGTTCCATCATGGAGTATGAAAAAGGCAAGGGAAAACTGTGGCCTTGGTAGCTGTGGTAGAAGGAGCTTCTCTATGTATTGTGTGCCTGGAGAAAGATTACAGATGTAAATAACTGTACTTCCTAGGAGCCATTTGGATTTCAATATCTCTACAAAAATCAAAACTAAAATTTAGAAGAGTAGAAATGGGGTTTTGTTGTTGAGTTTTCTGATTTTTTATTGGTACTTGGATTTAAACCTAGGGGTGCTTACTGGCTGGCCACATCCCCAGCCTTTCTTTTTTTCTTGAAACAAGGTCTCCCTAACATACTGAGTAAAATATCTATTTTAAAGTGTTTAGAGTAAAATTTTGTTAGAAGACCAGGAATCACAGTGAGAATAACAACCCATATGTGATCACGAAGGAGAGGACTGCTAGGCACCCAGAAGTGCTGATTATCAGGAGACCCTGGCCCCATGTGGTTGTAGGAAACTTGAAGTGTACGCAGTGCACGCTGCTAATGGAATATAACATAAAAGTCACACAATGTTGGAAAATGTAGAATGAAAACAAGCGTTATAAGCAAAGAAAAAGTATAATGTCAAACATACTAATGATAATATTAAATATCAGTATATTACTACATTAAAATATTATGTGCACTAACATTACATTGAGTATTATATATAATATAAATAATATAATATCAACCTGTTAATGTTAACATTTTTGTTTTCAACTAAATAAATATTAATCATTAATGTAGATAAATCTATGTAATAATCAATATTTAATTTGATTTTAAACATGTCACTAGAAATCTAATTGCATATGGAGAGTCACATTATATTTCTATTGGTGAGTGCTGCACCGAGGTGCCTCAGTCTGCATGGAGAAAAGCGATACCTAGGAGAGGGTCAGCCATGCTCACTTCTTCCTGGGGGAGATCATCCCACACACTCTTCTCATGTTCCCCAGCAMCTCCTTGTTCCTCAGGCTGTAGATGATGGGATTGAGCATGGGGGTGAGGATGGTGTAGAAGACAGCCAGGTTCTTATCTTCTTCTGGTGAGCGTACATTCTTCGGACGGAGATAAGTGTAGACAAAAGGAGCATAGTAAAATGTCACCACAGTTAAATGTGTGGAGCAYGTGGTGAAGGCCTTTCTTCTCCCCTCTTTTGAGCGCATGTGGAAGACAGAAAAAATGACCCGTCCATAGGACAAAGTGATGCCAAGGAAAGGAAGGAGGAGAATCAGGACTGCACTAAAAAAAATCACATACTCATAGACCGAGGTGTCTGTACAGACAAGAAGCAACATGGCTGGGATGTCACAGTAGAAGTGATTGATGGTCCTGGTCCTGCAGTATGGAAGATGAAGAACATACACAGTGTGTACTAGGCCATTGAAGGAACCTAGTGTCCAGGACCCAAGGATCATCTTCACACACATTCTTTTGCTCATATGTATGTGATAATGGAGGGGATGACAGATGGCCACAAAGCGGTCATAGGCCATGGAAGCCAGGAGTAAGCCTTCAGAACATGCCAGTGTCACAAAGAAGAAGCTTTGTACACCACAACTGAAAAAGGAGATACTTGTCTGGCCAGAGAGGAAGTTGTACACCATTTTGGGGACTGTGGTGGAGATGTACATTAAGTCCATGAGGGAGAGCTGGCTGAGGAGAAAGTACATGGGGGTGTGGAGCCGGGGGTCCAAGAAGATGAGGGCAGTCATCCCTGAGTTCCCCAAACAGGCGAGAACAAACACARAGATGATCAGGAGCAAGAGAAGTAGGCCAGTTTGGTTTTGGGGTAACAGCCCCAACAAAATGAAATCATTTGAAGTTTGGTTCCATTTCTCCATGAAAACCTAGTTCCTCGAATTGCTTGAAAGTAAGTAAAAAATAAAAATTGAACATTAAACATGAATTGAAACAGTAAAAGAGAATGAAAATGAATTGTCTTTATTAGTGTTTGTTTAGAATTATTTGTTGCTTTTCTTTTCAATCTGTACCATTTTCKTGAATTGATTTTAAGACCTGAATAGAATGTTCCTGCCCCAGTTCTCTCTGTAACCATCTCAGCACATCCTGGACACATACATGGTCTTGGAATACAAAGTCTATACCAGGCACAGGAAACCCAGCGAGGTAGCTGGAGCCTTCCTGCCTGCTAGCTCCCAGCAGGAACATTCCTAGGACTATGCATCAGGCTCAGCCCCAGAGGAATGACATTAAAATAATATACAAGTCTTTCATTCTAGTTTTCACAGCAGCAAACATAATTTCTGTGGTGATGGACTTACAGCACTAGTTTTGATAATAGAAACACACACTCAGGATCATGCTTTCCCACCTCCCCAGCTCAGCACTCAGGTTCACCACAGACATGGCCTGTGGGGCACAGAAGTGCCCTGTGTGCTTGAGTCTGCATCCTCAGTGACCTCGCCTCCTCCACACCTTTAGTGCCTGCTCTCCCCTCCCCACTGGCACTGCTGCAGCTGAGTAAGCCAGGGTCTTCTCCCAGAGCTGTGCTGCTCACCTCCTAAACAGAAGCTGCTTGGCTGGTCCTAGAAGTGGGTCACCATCCAAAGCATTGTTCTTGTCCTGTGAAGGTACTGTGTATACTCTACAATCCACCATGATTATATTATATTCTCTGAGTTTCGTCTCCTCTCTATTGAGATTTCTAATTTCTAAAATTCTAAAAACACATGTTTTTTCTTTGTGCAAGCAAATATCACATTAAAAATACATAAAAATAATATATAAGACTTTCATTCTAGTTTTCACACCAGCAAACATAACTTCAGTGGTGGTGGATTTACAACACTGGTTTTGATAATGGAAACACTCAGAGGCTTTTTCTGTGAATTAGTATGATAATTCAACTAATGAAATGTGAGAATAATTTTTTTTACATAAGTTTGTAGTATATGTGCATTAAAAAGCAGAACATGAGAACTTTTTGTGGTACTTTTCCACTTCTTTTTATCCTCCAGGTTTAATTTTGTTGTTAATACCAGGACCTGAACACACATTATGCTCTAAGTTTATCTTAAATGGTCCCATCATTTATATTGAGACCTATTTTTACATTTATATTTGCATGTACGAAGAGTCTAGAGTATCATAAAAAGTTTTATTTTGGTTACTACATTAATTATCTTTTTTCTTAAGTTGAAAACTTTCATCCTGTCAGATGAGAGATGAGATTATTCACTCCAGTACCCCATTCATCCCTACTTAAATTTTAGGATCTGGGAAACTGGAGTTACATATGAGGGTCTATTTCCATGGATGACCATCAACTTTCTTTATTGGGTATTGGACCTTATTTCATGTGCCAGAATTTCTTGAAACCCCACTCTCTTGGTTACACTAAAACCTGGGGAGTACTGATTCTGTGACTATAAGGGTGTCAGGATGATGGTCTCCCTTTGTCATTTCACTGGGCATACTGCTCAAATACTCAGAGTTGAAAGAAATAACCTTCACTTGACAGAACCCAACACAAATCCCTCAAGAAGTTTAGGTGGCTGAGTTCATTTTGCAAAAGTTATATGAAAACAATAATAATTAATACAATGAGACTTAATGTCCTTAAAAAGGAGTTACAGATAATCAGCCCATGACCAATAAGCCAATTGTTTGTCTGACCCTCAGCTAACTCACTCCCAACAACCACACCTGAGATCTGTGATGATGCAATTAACTGAGCACTGTGTTTAGCACAGAGTAGGTCTCCTAAACTTTTGTTCTCCTTTCAATGGAGAAGACTCAGAAATTCAGACCTTAAGTGGAGAAGACCCAGTGAAATGAAGATCACACTCCCAGAGAGCAGCATATTCTGGAATTTTAACAGGTTCATACCAATTGATATCACATTTAAACTGACTCCTGTGTTTTACAATTTGTTATGGCATGGCCTATTCTTTGTGCAAAATAAATGTTTCCTTATGATGAGAAAACCTCATCTCCAAAATATCTGCTTAGTTAAAGGTAACCAAAAACAACTCAGCACAGTGATAGTGTTTTGACTTACATCATCTGAAATCCGGGACCGGGTTTTGAGAGAAATAGTTGTTTTTATTTACAACATTCCCACCCAATAGTCCATTGAGTTCTTTAAAATGTTTAAGCCCCAAGCTGTGCTCACACTCTGCCAGGCTAAGCAACTAGTGCTCAGACTGAGAAGCTGGCCTAGATCTCACCCAGCTCTCCTGATGTGATGAGCCAAAGGCACCAGGAGGGAGTTCTCAGAATACATTCAGTGCCCATGGCTCCCACCTCTAGTATTCTCTTATGCTAAACTCTCAGAGCTCCTCACCTTGAGAGCTGCTTCCTTATTGCTTTGCTCAGTCATCTCCCTCTGCCTCTTCCCTTGTTCCAGTAAAACAGACTCAAACATGCCACACTTACTTCTGGAGAGTGAGAAAGAAGGATGAACTGCTGCTCTGATGCACAGAACCTTCCTCCTTCGAGCCTTATATGTCCATCTTCCTCTAATGGATCCCCAGGGTCCAAGCCCATGGGAGAAAAAACTTGGTCATTTCACCTGACTTTGCTAGCTTCAAGGTGAACTTGGTTCAAGTGTGGAATAAATCAGCCAACCCACTCAGCTGCCATTCTCTCCTGCTGCCCAGAATTAGTTTCAAGAAGGATGAGCTCAGTCATTCCAGAACAGGATGAGGAGGTGTAGGGGTGTTAGGTCATGTCTACTAAATCCTCCTGTTTTGTAAGTTAAAACCTGAGGATCAGCAAGAATCAGTGTTGAGCTGGGTGTTAACAGCAATAGTAGTGAGAGCAATTACCTTCTATAGTCTAGTCAGATTCTAAAAATTGTGAGTAAATTAAATTATTTTGCAACAAAATACTCTCTTACACATGCAGAAAGGTAATTAACTGATTTTTGAGAATATTAATGAAGACAGAAATTCTCCAAAAACATTCCTATATAGGTGGTAATTACTGTTACAGATATCAAAGTAGAAAAAAAAAAACATTTATTCTAATGAGCAGTCTTTGTTTCATCTGTACAAGATTCCAGAAGAGTCACTTTATAGTGCTTCAAGTCTAGGTAGCTGAGGTTCATGCATGATAATTCCTCTTGCTGGTGGCCGGATGAAGCTGCAACCAGTTTTCTTAAGGACTGCCTCTGGACCTACAGAATCCATAATCTAAAGCTTCCTGGTAAAACTGACCTGATTCCTGGTTCACTCTGCAAGGTCAGGACCCTTAGGATATCTCAGGTGGAGAAGAAAAAAAGCAATTTCAATTTCTGCAAAACATGGTAGAGAGTGGTGAGGATCTTAGAGGAAGACATTTACTTGTTTATGTGTTAAATATTTCTCTATCAGTTCATTCTATTTAGAGACTTCAAATTACAATCAGATTTCATAGAAAAAATCCCTTCAAGCCAACATAGGAGGCTCTAATGGAAAATTACCACTCTTGCTGCATCTATACAGTCAATCAGACCAAATTTAATAACACCACACTCACTTTGAAATGGTCTTTTTTGAGAAGCATTTTGATCCAAGAGAGGAGTTTGTAGGGAGAACATCTATGCTTCAATGGAAGCTGCATTACCTGGACTCTGAGACTGCATTATCTGGACTCTCTCCCCCTTGATCCCCAGTGCCTACCTTAGGACCTTGTATGTTATGAGTACATATTTAAATCTCTGTGATTCACTTATTCATCCCAATGATGATGATGATGCCTTTGATAAATCTATACTTTATCAATATATGAATCACTAAAATCAGGCATTTGCAGTATTTCATTTTTAACTCTAATTAAAAGTAGAGGATTAGAGGTCTATGCAATGAAATGAGGCACTGTGTCTCAAAATGTRGAAACACATTCTTCATTTTGAAGCAGGCAGTACTTAAGAATATTAATCCTTATGTAGAATATGTGTGTCCTCAGCTTGATCTACAGAGTAATAAACTTATTCAGGTGCTTCTCTGTCAAAATATTCTCCAAGTAAGGACAATTTTCTATTGGAAATAACACGAATTCTCAGGTAGTAAGAACTATTTTTCATGAAGATATTTATGATCTGGTCAAGTTCAAGGTAAGGGACAATAAAGCCAGGTGTACAGGAAGCAAGAAGTTGTTCCAATAAGCATTACACACAAGAATAATATCAATTGTGCTTCTCCTTTCCCAGAACAATAAATCAGGACAATAGTAACTGTCTCATGGCAAGTTTGTCCTTGGCACACAGATATAAAACACAAATGAAAGAGGTTTATAGTGTCAGTTGAGTTACTAATTTCAAATACTCTTTTTTACCTGCTAATAACTAAACAATTCAAGCTCTTTACATAAATCATACAGAATAGTGTCTTTGTAATTCACTGGCCTCAAATTAATTCAGAATAACATTTACAAAAATAWTTTTCAAGTTTTCTTTGCAAATTATCAGCAGCCTACTGTCATGGAATATCAATTGCTGCATACAGACTCAGGATCCTGCCTTAATTTTACTAAAATACATTGGGGAAATAAGATTTAAAAATGTTCAGCTTATTAAATGTTTTGGCTTTAAGGTGGAGGTGAGATACTAAGATAAAGTATGCATCTTACCACCTTTGAGTGTTCAGTTCTGTGGAGTCTCAAAGGCATTCATGGTGAGCACAGCCATCAGCACCAGCCATGCCCAGAGGATTTTCATCAGCCCTAAGTGTAACTGCACCTAATAAACCGTGCCTCCCCCTCTCTCCTTTGTCCCAGCCCCTGGTTACAACCTCTAACTGTCTCCATGAATGTGATGACTGCATATTTCATGGAGTGAATTCATTCAATACCTGTCCTTTTTTAACTGGCTTATTTCACAGACTACACAGTCATCAGC